GGTCTGGGTCCCCGGCGGGGGTGGTCTCCCCTGGGTCCCGGGTCACTGGGTCCTGGGCTCGGCCGGCTAGGGGGTGGGAGGCGGCGGGCGGACCTGTGGGCTTGCCGCTGATATCTCCCGGGACTCTGCCGGCTGCTGGTTGTGGCCCCCCGGGGCGATCCTCTGCGCCTCTCGGGGGGGGGGGGGGGGGGGGGGGGCTTTCTGGTTGCAGTCCCCTCGGGGTTCCTGTATTCTGGGGCAGCGCCTGGATCTCTGGGACTTGGAGCTCCCCCCGTCTCCTACGCAACTTTGGGGGCAGATCTGTGGTCCTTCACACTCTCTATTGGACACTCCTATAGAGAAACCTTAGATAAACAAGCGCGTGTACACACACAGGTGCTCACATGGTGCTCTCAAAAGTATGGGCTTGGGCACTTTCAACACTTGTCTCAAGGCTGTCGTTGCCACTAAATGCACTGTGATTTATTATTGTGTGATTGTTCAGTTAAACAATGTTGATTTTACATTTCGTCATCACGTTGACGCAGTGATAGCTTGCTCCTGATGTATTGTTGTGTGTCCCATTTTTTTCTGCTCTTCTCTTTCTGCAGGTCTAGAAGCAGACTCTTGTTCATTATTGTTTATTTTTGTGGACCCCCCCCCCCCCCCCATCTCTCTCTCTCTCTTCCCACCATTTGTCTTTTCTTTTCTCTTTCACCTCTGTCTCCGTGTCTGGTCGGAATTACAAAGCATTCAAAAACAATAACAATAAAATTTGAAGTATCAGGCGTAACATTTAAAGCAGACACTTTGATGCTCCACCTGAGAATAAATCTGTAAGGCTTGTTACCAGCATTCAGCCCTCAATTCTGCTAGCTTCACAGCCAGACAGGACACGGTTAAAAAAAAAGAATAATAAAAAAAAAAGCACGGTAAAAATCCAAATCCACTCACACACACACACACACACACACACACACACACACACACACACACACACACACACACACACACACACACACACACGCACACGCACACGCACACGCACACACACACACACACACACACACACACACACACACACACACACACACACACACACACTAAAACACAGCAACAACTGGGCGGACAGGCCATCAGGAAATGAGCGAGCATACAGCTCGCCTGCACACGCGTCTATTAGCCCGAGCCTCAGCCGTCCTTATGAGCTCCCGGGCAGACGACAGCTGCCGGTAGGGCCCGCAGCTCCTCGTTGAAATACCCAAACCCACACCGGGTTTAGGTCCTCTGCTGGTACTCAGTCTAGAGGAGCGAGTGAGAAAAGCCGCTCCCGATGGTCTCCGCTGATCCCGTTAACCAGCCCGGGGTGGAGAGGCCTTGGAACCAGATGATGGTCCAGCACCGGGTCAACAACAGGAAAACAGAGATCCCGTGGAACAGTGCAGAAAAGCAGCAGAACAACAGAGTCTACCGTGGAGATACACCCCTTCCTCGATCTGGAGTACACATTAGTTAGCATTATCCTACAGCCACAGCTAAGTGGAGAGTAGCGCAGATGTACATACCACTTCTTTGAAGCACATAGGATAAAGAGAAGCCTTCCCTTCCTCTGGGAGGACCACATGCAACAATTCCTGTGGCAGGAACAACCAATAACCACTAGACTCCATGCAGCTACTGCAGCATTTTAGATATTACTCACAGTCCGACACGCCGGAGTCCCGTACACAATTGCACTTCACCCAGGAAGCGGAAGTTGAGCCAAAGCAAAGATCGCGGTAGCGCCAACCCAGGCCTTATTTATATTAGCACCTTCCCTCAATGATAGGTCGTCCAATTACTTGGTGGCAGATGACTAATCCCACTACAATCCACCCCCACCAAATGGATCACTCACCAAAGCCTGGGATTCATTGCCATGGTCTACAAACTATCCACCTCATACCTGATATGTCCGCAGTCAGGGGCTCAGCTTGCTGCTCTGACCCTCCTACAGGTCTAGGGAGGTGATGGAGGTTGGAGTGCCGTCCAGCAGTGCGCCTCCAAGTTTGCCGGACATTAGTTTCAGTTACTGCAGGGCAATGGGCAACTGGAGCAGGTTGCGAAGCAAGTGGGACGGCTTGGGTCACCATTAACTCAGACTCTGTGGGCCCTGTGGGACTCACCACTGAGAGAGCTGGATGTACTACTGCCCTCGGTGCCCCCCCAGTGTAACCTGATCCTGTCAGGCGTGCTGGAGCGTGAAGCGGAGGTAAGGATCCAAACACGGGTGAAGAAGGCAGGCAGACAGGAACGGTTAAAGGCTTTAATGATAACACACGTTGACACAGAAACAATGATCCAACACGAGACAAAGAACTGAAGGGGTTTAGAGGGTTGGGAACTTGGGTGATTGGAAAACGAGAGGCAGGTGGGAGCAATTAACAGAGACTAGACTAAACCATAAGGGGGGACAGGACAGGGTGTGACAGTATCCCCCCCCTCCCCCAAAAGGGCGGATTCCAGACGCCCACAGGAACAGAGAGCAGGGCAGGAGGAGGGGGACCCGGAGGGAAGGCCGAGAGGGACCGAGGGCCCGAGGAAGGGGAGGCAGGGACCAGTAGAGTCCGGGGGCCTGCGCCTGGGGCAGAGGAGGCGACGACGGGCTCTTGGGGTCCTGCGTCTGTGGCAGAGGAGGAGGCGGTGACGATGGGCTCTTGGGGGCCTGTGTCTGGGGGCAGTGACGACGGGCTCTTGGGTGCCTGCGTCTGTGGCAGAGGAGGAGGCGGTGACGACGGGCTCTTGGGGGCCTGCGTCTGGGGCAGAGGAGGAGGCGACAATGGACTCTTGGGGTCCTGAGTCTGTGGCAGAGGAGGCGATGACGACGGGCTCTTGGTGGCCTGCGTCTGTGGCAGAGGAGGAGGCGGTGGCGACGGGCTCTTGGGGGCCTGCGTCTGTGGCAGAGGAGGAGGCGGTGACGACGGGCTCTTGGGGGCCTGCGTCTGTGGCAGAGGAGCAGGCGACGATGGGCTCTTGGGGGCCTGCGTCTGGGGCAGAGGAGGAGGCGACGACGAGCTCTAGGGGGACTGCATCTGGGGCAGAGGAGGAGGAGGCGACGACGAGCTCTAGGAGGCCTGCGTCTGGGACAGAGGAGGAGACGAGAATGGACTCTTGGGGACCCGTGCCTGATGCGGGCAGGACTGGTGGTGACCGGAGGCAGAGACGCTGGAGGAGACGTCCTTGACTTCTGGACTGGAGGCGGCATCGTCGGCCTCTGGGCTGGAGGCGGCGGCGTCGGCCTCTGGGCTGGAGACAGCGGAGACGTTGGACTGGAGGGAGCGTCGACCTCTGGACACGAGGGAGCGTTGACCTCTGGACAGGAAAGAGCGTCGACCTCTGGACAGGAAAGAGAGTTGACCTCTGGACTGGAGAGAGCGTAGACTTCTGGACTGGAGAGAGTGTCGACCTCTGGACTGGAGAGAGCGTCGACCTCTGGACTGGTGAGAGCATCAACCTCTGGAGCGGACAAGGCGTCGACCTCTGGAGCGGACAAGGCGTCGACCTCTGGAGTGGACGAGTCGTCGACCTCTGGTGTGGACGAGGCGTCAAACTCTGGAGTGGACGAGGCGTCGACCTCTGGAGTGGATGAGGCGTCAACCTCAGAACACGAGGAGGCATCGACTTCAGAACACGAGGAGGCGTCGATTTCAGAACATGAGGAGGTGTGGACATCAGAACATGAGGAGGCGTCGACCACAGGACTGGAGGAGGCGTTGACCACAGGACTGGAGGAGGCGTCGACCACAGGACTGGAGGAGGCGTCGACCACAAGACTGGAGGAGGCGTCGACCACAAGACTGGAGGAGGCGTCGACCACACAACTGGAAGAGGCATCGACCACATGACTGGAAGAGGCGTCGACCACACGACTGGAAGGGGCATCGGCCTCCATTGACTTCTGGTCCGGGGGCGTCTATTCCTGGTCCATCGACTTCCGGTCCATCGACTTCTGGACCGGGAGCGTCAACTTCTGGTCCGGGGGCGTCGACTTCTGGTCCGGGGGAGTCGACTTCTGGACCCTCGACTTCTGGACTGGGGGCGTCGACTTCTGGTCCGGGGGTGTCGACTTCTGGACCGTTGACTTCTGGATTGTTGACTTCTGGGCCGTCGACTTCTGGACCGCCGGCTTCTGGACTGCCGGCTTCTGGACTGGAGGAGGAGTTGCTGCAGACGGGACCGCTTGGACATGCTGGATTGGATGCGGTGTGACCTCCGGGACCACTGCTGGAACTGGATGCGATTGAACTGGTGGTGCTGGAAACTGGGAGAGGAGGGAGGATACAGTGTCCAGTTGGAGCTCCTGGTGACTGAGGCTCTGATGGAGTTGGGCCATCTCAGCTCGGAGACCGGCGAGCTCTGCTGGGTGGACTGCAGGCTTGCTCCTCTGGCTCTGAGACGAGGGAGCTGCTGGCTGGACTGAAACCCTCTCCGGGTGATTCGGGGAAGACAGGTTGTCCAGGTGGGACTCCTTGAGGCTGACGAGCTGACGGATCCGGCCAAGTTCTGCCTGCAGATCTGCGAGCTCTGTCAGCTGGTCTGTGGGCGTGGTTCCTCCACCTGCAGATGACGGAGGCACGGATTGGACCGGAGATGGGACTGCTGGTCTGACTGGGGGCGGGTCCAAGCAGGTGCGCCAAGCCGGGGCAGCGGCGAGCTCACGGCTCCGTCCTGGGACAAAGGATTGCGGTGGAGCCTGGCATCCTTCCCCATGCCGTGGGCCAGCTCCGGGGGAGCACACAGCCAGTCTGGTGCCCATGAAGCTGGAGCGATCTGGAAGCGTCTCCCGGTCCAACCTTTCATCTGGCTCCGGAAGGGTGGAGAGGAACGCCGCGGCTGAAGCCCGGTGACGGCGTCTACGGCGAGGCGACGCCGGGGGAGGAAAAGAAGCCGGCCGGTGGTCCGAGGAAAGAAATTGAAGCAGGCACTCCCAGGGGAGAATCTCCCCGCTGGATCCTTTACTGGGTTGGATCATTCTGTCAGACATGCTGGAGCGCGAAGCGGAGGAAAGGATCCAAACATGGGTGAAGAAGGCAGGCAGACAGGAACGGTTAAAGGCATTAATGATAACACACGCTGACACAGAAACAATGATCCAACACGAGACAAAGAACTGTAGCCTCCACGCCCAGCAGCCAGGCTCTCCAGCAGCCTCCAGGCCCAGCAGCCAGGCTCCACCAACATCCTCCAGGCCCAGCAGCCAGGCTCACCAGTAGCCTCCACGCCCAGCAGCCAGGCTCCACCAGCAGCCAGGCTCCACCAACAGCCTTCAGGCACAGTAGCCAGGTTCCACCATCACCTCAATACCAGCCACCTGATCCAACAATCAGGCTCAGCCTGGGGCTCCAGGCTCCAGATTCACCGGCAACCAGGACTGAGAGAGAGCAGCCAGGCTCTCCAGCAGCCTCTAGGCCCAGCAGCCAGGCTCCACCAACAGCCTCCAGGCACAGCAGCCAGGCACCACCAGTAGCCTCCACGCCCAGCAGCCAGGCTCTCCAGCAGCCTCCAGGCCCAGCAGCCAGGCTCCACCAACAGCCTCCAGGCCCAGCAGCCAGGCTCACCAGTAGCCTCCATGCCCAGCAGCCAGGCTCCACCAGCAGCCTTCAGGCCCAGCAGGCAGGCTCCACCATCAGCCTCCAGGCTCATCAACCAGGCTCCACCAGCAGCCTCCACGCCCAGCAGCCAGGCTCACCAGCAGCCTCAAGGCCCAGCAGCCAGGCTCCACCAGTAGCCTCCACGCCCAGCAGCCAGGCTCCACCAGTAGCCTCCACGCCCAGCAGCCAGGCTCTCCAGCAGCCTCCAGGCCCAGCAGCCAGGCTCCACCAACAGCCTCCAGGCCCAGCAGCCAGGCTCCACCAACAGCCTCCAGGCCCAGCAGCCAGGCTCACCAGTAGCCTCCACGCCCAGCAGCCAGGCTCCACCAGCAGCCAGGCTCCACCAGCAGCCTTCAGGCACAGTAGCCAGGTTCCACCATCACCTCAATACCAGCCACCTGATCCAACCATCAGGCTCAGCCTGGGGCTCCAGGCTCCAGATTCACCGGCAACCAGGACTGAGAGAGAGGTAAGCCTAATACAATGGCCCCTCCTAGAAAAACAGAGAAACTCGAGGAAGATATGGAGGAAATTAAAAAATCATTGAATTTTATGTCAGCCGAGCTGTCTAAGCTAACAGTACAACAGGATCAACTACTGTCATTAATGGATGAGGTTAAGACACTGAAATTCAAGCTTGCAGAAAAGGACAAGAAGATCATGGTATTGGAACAGAGGGTGGATGAACTGGAGCAGTATACCAGAAGGGAAGACTTGGTGATAACTGGTTTGGAAACAAGACATAGGACTTATGCCAGAGTTACTGGAGATAGAAACACAACTGAGGATGCTCCACAGGAAGAACTCCAGTCACTAGAACAACAAGTGTTGAGCTTCTTGCACAGTAAGAACATTCATATCCAAAGTGATGCAATATCAATCTGTCATACCCTTCCGAGAAAGGCAGACAAATTAAAACCAGTCATCATAGTGCGATTTACCAGTAGGAAGTACAGAAATGAGTTGTTGAGGCAAGCAAAAAAACTGAAAGGTACAAATGTGTACATAAATGAACACCTGACGAAAAAGAATGAAACAATAGCCAAAGAAGCAAGGGTGCTGAGAAAACAAAAAAAAAATCACAGCCACGTGGACAAGAAATGGTGTTGTATGGATTAGAGAGCAAGAAGGTCTAAATGCAAAAATGATCAAAGAGTTGAAAGATCTGGAAGTGTTGCAGGGTAAAAGATGATTTATTGTGTAGCACTGACTAAATAATGGATAGTGGAAACAGTTTAACAATGGATATGGAACTACAAATGAATTCATAAAGAATAAATGGATTCCCATGAGAAAATATATGAACTTGACAGTAAAATAGACGAAAGTTTATTTGAGTTAAATATAAATAGTAATTATTATGCAGAAGATCAGCTAAATAGTGGGTTAACTAACAATGATTCATTATCAATCATACACATCAACAGTAGAAGTTTAGTTTCCAAGATGTCAACAATAAAGGACTATTTAGGTAAATTTAAAAGTAAATTCAAAGTCATTGCCATTACTGAGACTTGGCTTTATGATGAAAGGATGACTGAAGTACAAATAGAAGGGTATGAACTTCATTTTGTAAATAGAATAAATAAAAGGGGTGGTGGCGTTGCCCTGTACATTAACAATGATTTAAAATGTAAATTAGATAAGAAAATGACTATGATGGAAGATAATGTTATGGAAATGGTAACAGTGGAAATTATCAATGACACATCAAAAAATATAATAATCAGTTGTGTATATAGAGCACCCGGTTCTTGCATCAGGTCATTTACAGATAAAATAAATGAGTTTGTGGATCATATTAAAAACAAAACATTGTTTATGTGTGGGGACTTTAACATTAACTTAGAACATCCTGTGGCTCTTAGAACATCAAGTGATTTTTTTGATATGATATATAGTTTAGGTTTGGTTCCTTTGATAAACAAACCTACCAGGATCACAACCGAAAGTGCAACAATAATTGATAATATATTCACTAATAGAAAGGAGGACGTTGTTAAAACTGGGATATTGATGACAGATATTAGTGATCATTTACCTATTTTCGTAGTGTCTAAATATCACAATAACAATAAAAATATCATAAAACATAATTGTATTAATTATAAAAGAAATAAATCAGTTAAAGCCCTGGAGGACCTAAATAAAGATCTTAAAATGCAGAACTGGACGGAAGTCTATGTCAGTGATGTGAACAATGCATATACATCCTTCATGAAAATACTGCTGAAATCGTTTAACAGTAGTTGTAAATTAATTAAAATAACAGGTAAAAGGGACAACCAACCATGGATGACTAATGGAATTAAAAATGCATGTGCCAAAAAAAATAGTCTGTATATGAGATTCTTAAAGTTACACACAAAGGAAGCCGAAGACAGATATAAAAAATATAAAAATAAATTAGTAACAATAATTAGAAAACAGAAGAAAGAATACTATGGTGAGCTATTGAATAAGAACAAAGAAAACATCAAGACTACATGGGGAATAATAAATAATGTGATTAACAGAGATAATACAAATGCGAGACTCCCAAACTACTTTGTAAAGGACAATAAAGACATTTATGAAGTTAAAGAAATTTCTAATGAATTCAATGATTTTTTTATAAATGTAGGAAGGAGTCTGGTGGAAAGCAAACCAATAATTCACGATACAATGAATACAATACCTAGAAATGTCAATAGTATTCTCCTTGACAAAGTAGATCAACAAGAAATAAGAAACATTGTAAAAAACTGGGGAAGCAAAAGATCAACTGATTGTGATAATCTGGACATG